CCAAACCACCACCACCAAAAATAAAAAGAAAAGCACCAAATCCCTCCACCCCAACAACAACAACAACCCCACCACAAAAAGAAAAACAAACCTGCCCCAAATCAGTCTACATTACACGGTGCCAACGATGAAATATGTAACTGAATTATATGACATGCTGGGCTTTTAAGCCATACAGCCTATGGTTCCAAGAGAAATATCAGTGGCTTCATTTTAGAACAAACCTGCTAAGTTTTAGCATCAAAAAAAAAGTTCTTTATCAAATAAGCATCAAGCGAGCCCTTGCATCCCAGGAATCTGGTTACCCATAGACTTTTCATGTTAATTCAGAGACAGATGAAATATGTACATAACTGAAACTGCTCAGAATGTACCATGTGCAAATGCATGTTTCCACAGGAGACTACTCAGTCATTTGATGCAGGACACAGCATCATCTAATATAAAGAGACTTTTTAATATAGAACATCTGCAACCTTTCTATCAGCTCCATCTAAATGTCTACCCAGGGTCAATTAAAAAATACCTCTGAAGTTTGATTCATAACTTTTTCATTTTCCCAAATACATTTCTGCTGTTTGCAGGGTAGGAATTGGGAGGTGGCGAGAGGTGGGAGGAGAGCAGAAGGTCTACAAGAAAAATTAGGTTGTCAGAAAACGTCAATAGTCACAGCAAATCTTCTGTAAATGATTTCTGAAAGTCTGTTTCACTTTATGTACAGCTGAACAATAACAAGCATAATGCCAACTTTCATTTTGGAAACAAGCTGCGAAGGGCACCTGTATATGGACACAAACTGTAACCAGTTACAAACACAAACTGTAACCAGTTACAACACAGGAAAACCCTGCACTGGGACTTCTTTGAGGGGCAGTCTTTGAAGAAAATATATCCTTGGCTGGCACAGGCAGGGGAAACCTGGAAAGCTACTGCTGTAGGGCTCAAAGGAAGGGAACAAAAAGGGATTTTTTATCCCTAACTGTACATCCTTTATTCATTCATTCATTCACATTATATGGTAGACTTCCTTGCAATGACAGGAAAAGGCTGTTGGTGGGTGGATGCACTTCTCTTGCTGCTCCTTACTCAGCAGGACAGGGCACTGTTGTCATTGTAAACACAGGGTGGGGCTCAGAGGATCCAGAGAGAAGATCACTACTGAGGGAGCCCTTAAATCAGTATTATTCTCTTTAAAGAAGACGCACAGTGTCAGACTCGCTTCTAACAAAATAAGAGGCACAAAGGAGGGCAATGGTATGTCTTGATTTTTGCATTTAGTACTCCCTCTTCAAGCCTGGAGGGTTGCCTTTAATACTTATTTTCATCTTACAACCTTACAGCTGAATCTGCTGAGTGACCTTCCTATGAGTATGTCTATTAGCCCATGATATTTGGTTTGACTTTGAGCAGGTTTCTTACTTTCCTCAGAGCATTCTGAAAGCCACAGTAAATCCTACCAGATCCTCCTGGGCTGCAGCAGGGCCTTGACTGACCATCACCATCTGTTCCTCACAGCCATGAGTCAGTGCCTTATCAGAAGCTTATTATTACTACTAGAGATGTTTTTGGAATCAGGAACTGATTTCACATAAAAGTTCTTTTTAGCTCTGCTCCATGTTCTAGAAGTGTCACTGGCCAGACTTTTAAAATTATTAGTAGCAATGTCTATACAAAAGAAGTTACACTTTTTAGTCCTATCATGCACACTTTTTTATGATGTTAAACCTTGGGTACAATAATCACTCTATGGGCCTTTTCTTGAAGTACTATAAATACCATTTCTCTTTCCCAGGACAGTACACTTTACTAAGAAAACAGACTGTGGAGGTTACTGGGTGCTTGTTTGGTAAGCGATTTCTCTTTGTTCTCCACTAACATCACAAATGGATTTTTTAAATTGTCAAGTTTTCTTGTATTTTCACAGTAAGGGATTTTAAACAAAGTGGTTCTTCAAATTAATATCTATCTCAGTCCTTATTAAAAGGGTCTAAAAATGAGAAGTGAGAACAAAAATGCATATTTTTAACTGACCCAACCCTTTTCTTTTTCAGAATTAACCCAATAGGAATGTTTGAGTTTTGAAACTGTCTGAACACAGGCAAAATATTATAGGAACATCTAAAAATTCCCAGGGACAAAAAGCCTCTCTGACCCAACAATGAGTACTACACAGTGCAGATCACAGATCTGCTGCTTCTGGGAATTCTGCCATATATTAAGTAAATAAAATTTTTTTTATTATTTGAATAATATTTTTTTTTCTCATTTGAACCCTAAACCCCAGCAAAGATAATATTAAAAAACTTGCATTTTGTTCTTTTTTCTATGAATTGCAAAGGCTAAATTCCATCTGTAATTATTCTTGTGAAACACAAGTAGAAACAATGGTATTGTAGAGATGCAACTACAAGATTAATTTGGTCTCAGACATCTTTGTATCTTAGTGAGAATAAATGAGCAGCAGAAATGTCTCTTAAGTTTAGACTGCAGTTTTCAGGATTATCAGTTAAAATATAGTTCTGAAGGAAAAGAAATCTGGTCTTGAGTTAATGAAAGAAACAGGGAACCTCAATATACTGGTTTTAGGTTCTCTGTTCAGGGAAGAAGTCGACTGTACAAGTTCTCACAGTCTCAACGCAGGATTTCCCCAACAAGTCTGAAAAAATATTCATCACTCCAAAGTCCACAAGAACTGAGACTAGAGTTAATTCTCCTGCACCCTTATAAGCCATAGGAAAAAAGCCTTAATCACAACTTCATGCTGGCTCATTTCAACCTCACTCCTGTTTGTATCCAGGAACACTCCGTGGTTCTCATCCAATACAAGACCTCTATGAAGTTCAGCAAGTTTCCACTGGAGAATTTTGCCACAAAGCCACTACATGTTTGTATTTCTATGGCTTAAGTCCAATCCATATATCTTTGGAACATCTGTTGTTATTTATTTCAGTAAGACTGACAGGCTCCAGGGTGCTCTTCACTACTTATTCACTTATTTAGGTTCCCCAATCCTTCCTTGTGATCACTCTGCTCTGCTTCACTTGGTATTTCTGCTGCACTTCGTGCAATCAGGTCTGATCACTTCTGCAGTTGATCCCTGGTCCTTCTGCTTTTGCCATGAAACAGTAAACATTTTTACCCTAAACCTCACTGCTGGCCATGCAAAATGCAGTCTGACCACCTGAACTTTTTGTGTTGTCATTTAAATGCGCAAATGGTATCTCTGCTAAAATAAGGTTATAAAACCTGAGTGCTGCTGTACTTCATCATCTTTCTTTGTTCTGTGTTTGAGAACTGCTACTGTATATTGACTTTATGAAAGTTTTGTTTTTTCAAGAGACCAGCACAATTATTACAAGTCCAAGTTCCAAAATGGACAGATACAGAACTGAAACTGCTGTATTAAAGGTCTGTAACGATCTTTCTTTGCTCAGCCAAATGGATTGTCATCTGTGTTGATTCAATGCAACTCCTCTGTGCCATTCAATACAATTGATCACAAGATGCTTTTATAGAGCATTTGGTTATCCTTGAAATTTGGTACCCAGGGGTCCTGGAAAATGCCCACAGCTTGAGCTGTTTTTCACTGAATACCTTTCTCTATAGCCAACAGTAAAACTGTTCTTTTCCTCATCTTGCTCCTAAAATTCCCCATCACATTCAGAGAAATTCTGTTTAAGTCTCACTGCCTCATTCTTGATAGCAACATCCACTTGGTATTTTAATTAAATCTCATGGCTTCAATTATCTGTATACAGACACTGTATCAATTTAAGTTGCTTTCCAGCCTGGCTTTTTTTCCCTCCTCCCTGATGTTTTATTTTGGTCTCACTCTTCTGTTTGGTCAGCCTTTGAAACAGGGTCCTTGAGAAAGCTACAAAACACAATTCTTAATTTTTAATTGTTTTTAATATCTCATTTTTGGTCAATATTTACAAACAGAGTGAAAACCTCATACTTTGGTGCTTAATTTACAATATTTTCCTTTTTGCCTATAAATTAGTGCAACATTTTATGCAACTAATTTAGTTTTATACTTTTTCCTCTTCTCTGATCAATGCAAAATACGAAACTTCCTCTGATTTATACTACTGCTTTCCATATCAACCTTTATATTGTAGACTTGGTTTAGGTGTGTAGCTGCTCTGCATGGTGGATATTAAGCAGAAACCTAGACGTTCCACATAATTTTCCATTTACTTATGTGGACATGTAAGGATAGAGCTGGTCTAAACATGGCTGGACAACATAAAATGTTAGCCCCTGTAGACAAGAACTTCTCTCCACAGAAATCATTCTGCTTTCAGTCTGACCTGCATTTTCTAAATACAACACATAAGATTCCCCACAAAGAAATCTGCTTGAGTAAGGAGAGCCCAAATTGACCAAGGAATTTGTTGTTTTCTACCTGGAACTCTGGAACATTCTATTGAGCTTTAATGATTGTGCAAAGTCATTACAATATTACTGCAGTAACTACAGTATCAAAGCCAACAGACACCAGTGCTATCACAGGCAAACAGCCTCCTGAGAGTGACTTAACCTTTGACCAGCAAATTTGATCTGTTATAGGCAATTTGTGTCCCAAGGTACACAGTGAATGGCTGACGTACACAAAATAAACAAAGACTGAGAAAGACAATAAACTGGCAGCCAAGATCAACAAATGGTTTTGGTGTCCCATGAAGCCATTAATAACAATACTCTGTCAAACGTGCTTTTTTCCAGGCGTGGGCTGGTTCAACGTCTTTGAGTGCCTGTGTGACCTTGAGAAGAAGAGGCAGATGTAGTGATGTGACAAGAATATTCTACTGGAAAGAAGCTCCTTTTAACCTATGCAGTGCCTAAGCATCTCCTTGCTCCCCTCCCCTAGAGTATTTATAAAATGCAAACAAGTAAATCCATCACCTCCTCTCCTAATCTTTTGCTGTTCTTTATAACAGACACAGAAATAGTTTGTCAAAAAAAGAGACACAGCCTTTTATTTTATATTCTAGAAACTAACATACAATAGTCTTAAAGATCCATGTGCCAACAGATGAGTTCCATAAAAATAAAAGAATAAGCTAACAGGTTAAAATAGCAAAGGTTGAAAATTTCGAGTTTCTACAAGTGATGACTGAATTCTACTCACCCACACAATCTTTACAGACAACAAATGCACTTTCCAGAAGAGTTACTTATGTATTTTAACTTTAGCTCTCCACTGTAGCTTTTTAGCATTGTGTGAACGTATTGTTTTAATAAAGATCTAGAAAAATGAAACCAAAGCACTTTTAATACACCTGTAGTCTATTGCTTTATTCTGCTGGATTGAGGCCTTAACACTCAGGTGAATCTTAATAACTCACTTATTCTAAACCTGAATCCTCACTTTTTTCCCCCTACTCTAGAGGAATTGGTTACTTTTATTTTTTTTTCTTCTTTTTAATCTTCTCTAGTGAAAGATCATTTTGTCTGTCTCCACTTTCAATTCCACACAAGTGCATGGACAGCAGTTTACGGTATAATGTAAGTTTTCCAGAGGAGATCTAGGGCCAGCAGTGATCCTTCTTCCCACTATGACAGCGACATCATCTTTCAATTTCTTTAAACTCTAGCCTAAAACAAAAAAAGATTAAACTCATTCTCTCCAATCTGAATATCCCCACAAGACAGAGAAAGCTGGTATTTAAACCAGAATAAATGCTAAGAATGAACTAAATAAATATACTGTTATTGGAATAAGTTTGTTAGCATATTTTAGACTGTCTAAAATTTGGTGTGTTTGTTTCCAATTAGACCACTAGAACATATATTTTGCATGAGTGTGGCTTCCTTCCTCCCCTCCAAGCATGCCAGAAACATATAAGTCTTTGCAAAATACTCAAGTATCTCTAAGACACAGATTTTTAATAGTATTTTCCATGCAGGAGATGCAATAACCCATAATTTGCTTCATTTCAGCACTGGGGACTAAAGCCAGTTACCCACTCAGAATTAGCAAGCTCGCATTGCCAAATCAGTTTTCCCTGCTCATGGGGTGCATCAGACATCACAGGCAAGTCAACAAACTGTGCTGTTTAGAGGAGCAGCACCACAGGATAGAGAGGTTCTCACAGGGGCCTTACAGAACTGTGTCAGCATTCACGCCACACGTACGTAAATACAACTTGCACTGTGCAGTTACTGAAATTAGCAAACATCTGACATGTAGGGAGAGAGCAGCTGACACCACTGCTATAGGCAGAGAGGATTCAAAGCAAATCTACACCTAGAAACTTCTCTTCTGATATTCCCGAGCCATTTCAGCCCAGAGCTCCTGGAGCTCTGCCTGATCCTGCCTACAGCACCCTCCACTGCTGCAGATGACTGATGGTTGGGGAAGCGATAAATGACAACCAAGCTAAAATAGCTTAAACAGGAATTAATTACAGAAGAGATGAGGCAGAGGTCTTCAGAATGAAGAGGTACATTAACCTATTGTAGCACTTATAATCATGATAATCTGCTGTTTTAAAGGAAAGAAATATTTGCTAATTTCTTTTTGAATAACTAACTCTCTGGTGTAGCTATACACACATATAGTCAGTAAAATTAACCTGCAGCTGTATTGTGAAGTTTTTTCTCAGAAGCAGTGCAGTTTGGTTTTGTTAAGTCTTAATTTTGAAAAAGATTTATTTAAAAACCTGTTTTTCACATTGCAGCCTGTATCAAACCAAACAGACAAAAAAAAAAATCAATAATTTAAAAACATGTATTGCTAAGAAGACTAAATAAATAAATAAAAGTAAGCTTCCTTGAGTGTCCTTCCTTGCTGTCAGTAAAGCTGTCTGTGTGGAAGACTGAGCAATCCAAGAACATGTGAGTGAAAACAAACACTTCTGAACACAGAAGAGGATATGGAAAGCGTATTTGCAGGGGGTGGGGGTGGCTTAAAAAGGAAAGCTAACTTCTTTGAATTGTTTATTTCCTCAATCTAATCTTAATTAAAACCAGAACATTAGGATGTCTGTTATACTGAGCTACTGTAGTACAGATTTCCACATTAGAGGATAAAAAGCTAAACACAAGGATGACTGAGGTAGAATGAACAGTGCCTGACTCATTACTCACTAGGTTTCTTTGGCTGGAAGGAAAATAGCAAACAATAACAGTGGCCTTCTGTCACCAGAAGATAGCTTTAGAATTCTATTTACACATTACTACCAACCAACCTGATGATAATCTCGGGTTAGTGTGGGGCCAGGTATTCACTGCTTTCAAATAAGGGACAATGAATGGCGCACACACACAGTTCATTACTTCAAACCCAATATTGGACTTAAATGCTAAAGAGCTGATACTTAGTGGCTCATGTATCTTGTACTAAATATAGACACAGAATTTTTAACACACATAGGGGGACAGGTTTTTTCATGTCAGCATTTGGCTAACATTTTATATTTACCCTGATTACTTTTAATTAATTCTTTACTCTTTCTTCTCAACAACAACAAATAAGAGCAAAACTGGAAAGTTGCAAGAACAGAAAAGGGAAAAAGGAGAAGACCTCTTCATTCTCACTTCTAAGAATTATGCCAAGACCTCTTAAAGAGGAAGATCAAATTCTCTCACATGCACCAGGGCCAAGCCAAGATCCTGGAGATGTCATTTGCACTGAATAACGGAAGCAAGCAGGGGAAGATTCTTTGAACCGTGAGTATTTTTGTGAGGGGAGCACTTGATAGCATAATTAACTTGTATGGTAAATGCCAAACAGCATTGTGACCACTGAGAAATCAGAGCAGTTGCTTCTCATGGTGCAGAGTAGAAGCAACTCACTCTGAGGGCAGAGCCCAGACTAAGGAACTCTGCTGGGCTTATTACTCAAGGCTCTGCATAAGCTGGGTGTCAACCAGGAGAAGAGAGATCCCAGGCTGCAGAACAGGGCAGAGAGGAGGAGAAAATAACAGAGGGAGAAACCTGGTGACAAACAAGCCAGGATGAAGGGTTACAGCTGACAGGAACACCAGTTACCTGCTAAGTTAACAGTTGAATGAGCTGGAACTGCTGGGTAAGGATCAATCCTGCACCTTTGCATTCACATCCAAACAAATGAGGAGAGGTGGAGGCGAATGGGACACGGCCAAATGTGGTGCAGAGCAGGACGCTGTAAAGAGCTTTTCTCACTGCTGTTGGACAGAGATGGAAAGCAGAAGCTGAGGTAGAAAGGATATAAAGCCTTTCCTCATCATGCACTTAGCTGTGCCAATGTTCATGCACATGGTGGATAGTTTGCAGCAGAGGTAACTCTCAGGGAAGTTGAAAGCTGTGTGAAACACTTTCTGCCCAGACTCACAGCAAATGTTACAGGAGAAGGCAAAGTGCCGCTGAGACATGCTGGCTGTGAGTGCTCGTGGCTGCTCACAGCAGGTGAGCACACTGGACAGGTAACACAGACCAGAGTAGGAAGGGGACAGAGCTGGACCTGGCACAGGGAGGTGACAGCACTCAGAACCAGGACCTAGCAGCGGGAGCCACAAGAGAGACTCATAATCTGGAAGCAACACGAGTCCAAGCACAAAGGGAAGAAATTTCTACGTGGTCACGTGTTCAGTGTCCTGTGTAGGACGTCAGCAAATTTTAGACCCTGGCCCACTGAATAGATTTAAGGTTCACCGAAAGATAACATCCCATAGAGGGGTTTTGTGAAAGGGAGAAGATGCTGCCAGTCTTCATGATGACAGAGCAAGGCTAACAAGTGGACTAATCTGCAAAAATAGTTTTCCCATGGTAAATTTGAAATGACAATTTTTTTTTTCTAGCAAGACACATAAAATCAGAAAGTCAGCTTTAATTCTGAGGCATTATATTCCAAAAAGCATTTCTGAAGGTGAGAGCATCTGTAGTGAGGAGGTAGTACAGAGAGAAGGAAACCTCAGCTCACCACCACATGCAGTAGCAAGAATTGGTACGGAGAGGAAAATTAGTTTGAGAAAGTCATATGAAGGCTTACTACTTTTTCATTTTCTTAAGAATAAAACTATTTTCCTGGTACACTGTTACAGGAGTAACCAGGCTGGTTTTTAAATGTATTTGATTTTTAAATTGTTTATAAATAAAATGTTGTATAAAGAAGTGTTTAGCAGAACAATGATTATATAAAGTAGGGAAATGTTGCTATGCTCATTTTTACAAGCGCAGAGGATAATTTTTGTGTTAAAACTAGGGCTCAGAGCAGTGGAGTTAACCAGTGATTCCCAAGAAATCCAAAGTAGCAGAGCGGGCATTTGAAACAAAGCCTCTCTCACAGTATCTCCTAAACATTTTCCTACCTAACCCCAAACCTTAAACTTTTGCTATCTCTTAAACCATCTCTTCATTTTCTTTCAAAAATCCTGTATGGAAAAAAAAAAAGGGAAGAAAGAGACAGAGTAGTTCAAGGGGTCAGGTTTGTTCTGAAGCTAGCATGCTTCATATGCTCTGAAATTGTGACTATCCCAAAAGGAGCTTTCTTTTATATGTCAGCAAAACAAAAGGTCAGCCTATTGAAATATTGGTCAGGTCTGACTTTCTTCTATTAATAACAAGTAGAGACACATTTTTTAAAGTAATAGTTAAATAAATGACCACATGTCTGCAATCATTTCGATTTAAAATGTCAACTGGATTTGAGATGCCATGTGCATTTAATCAATGACTCTGCACTATAATATAAATATTACTTTGGTTTGACTGCATTGTGTGGCATAAATCATAATTCAGTGAGATGAGTATATTTAATTTTCTCTACAGATGGCTGTTAATGGCAATACCTATTAAACCAGCACCCAGCAGCATTCTGCAGTTCAGGAATCTGTCAGGAGTCCCCTTCTGTATCATTTCTCTGTTAATTGTTGTCTCTCCTCCTAACCCCTCAATTTAACACAGTCATGTTACAAGAACTACTGATTCAGAAAATCAGCAAAAACCTGTTGTTTCTTTTGTTAACAAGATAGAACTTATACTCTGCACTGTATTCCTGAGCAAAACTTTGTATTCATTGGTTAAAATGCAGCTCAGGAAGCCTTAATTCAAAATTTTGTGGGCAAGACTAAACCTTCTAGGACCTTTAACCATAATGTATCTGTACCACCCACAGAAATACCCAATGTACTACAATTTATATAAAAAACATGGAATTCAAGCTTTATCCTCAGCTAGATTTTAAGAGGATTTTAGAGCAAGTAACAGCCAATTCTAGTGAATGATGGATGAACACAGTGCTGCAGTGTTCAGTATTCCCCAAGAATACACTTTGCTTTCTAGGACTCTTCTTGCAGAACACATTTCTTGGGAGATTAGAGACAGACACTTAGAAGAAATATCCTACCTCCAGAAAATACCTGGAGTTTACTTTTAGCAGCTGTGGCATGCACAGAGGTCAATATTAAATAGGCGAGTGTCCATTAAAGTAGAATTTGAAGTTAATCCTCAAAGGCAAAGCATGCTGCCTTTTTTTTTTTTTTTTTTGCTTAGTAATGACTTGAATAATGATATTTCAACTTGAAGTGAACATGCAAGTTTTTCACAAAAAGCATGCTCCTTGCAAACAGTTTGTAATTTTGAGTCCTTTTAAATAGTCAGAGGGAACTTTCTGC